AAATTGTGAATGGTGTTTATGGTGCCGATATTGTAACAGCTAATTACATGCAATTTTGGTTTCATCGATTCTGTTCCGGCATTTTTGATGTTAAAGATGCACCTCGCACAGACAGGCCCGTCGTCGAAAATGTCGATAAAATCACAGAAATAATCGAAATTGACCTGCATATTAGTAGTCGTAGCATCACCAAGGAGATAAAGATCGACCATAAAACAGTTTTAAACCATTTGCGCAAAGTTGGATTCAAAAAGAATCTCGATGTTTAGGTGCCACAACAATTAACACCAAAAAACATGATGGGTCGAATTTCCATCTGCGAAGCCTTGGCCAAACGGAATGAAATCGACCCATTTCTTAAACGGATGGTGACTGGAGATGAGAAATGGGTCGCATACTACAATATTGTGTGAAAATGATCGTGGTCGAAGTGCGGTGAAGCAGCTCAAACGGTGGTCAAACCAAGACTAGCGACCAGGAAGGTTCTACTGTGTATTTGGTGGGACTGGAAAGGAATCATTTATTAGGAGTTGCTTCCGTATGGCTAAACACTAAATTCAGCTCTCTTTTGTCAGCAACTGGACCATTTGAAGCTAGCGATTGAGCAGAAATAGTCCACAGAAGAGGTGTTGTGTTCTATCAGGACAACGCCAGTCCATACACATCTGTAGTGACTCGCCAGAAACTCTGGGAGCTTGGTTGGGAAGTTTTAATGCGTCCACCATATAGTGTGGATCTGGCACCAAGCAATTACCACCTTTTTTTCGCATTGAAAAACTTCCTGAGTGATAAGAAATTGGGATCAAGAGAAGAATGTGAAAATCAATTTCTAGAGTTTTTCGCCTAGGGCCAAGACTTCTAAGAGAGAGGCATTATGAAGCTACCTTTGAAATGGCAACAAATTATACAGCAAAACGGTGCATATTTGAACCAAATTGGACGTTCGGAAGCATGTTAAATAAAGTCTTGATTTTCATGCAAAAATAATGAATTTCTTTTTCCCCAACCTAATATAATTAAGAAGACTTACCTTGCAGCAGCACCGGAATATAGTTGTACAAAACTGCTTTTACGATGACAAAAGAGCTAGTATAAGCTAGAGATTAACTTAACTAAGTGGCGCGACATCTCATGAGGGACAAGGCCTGCTGTGGCCTTGTCAAGGCCAATGGTCAAGGTGTCGGATCATGGCAGGCATGTCATGAGTTCGAGCCTAGTACCGCTGAAGACCCGCCGTGTAGGAGGGCGATGCATGTTAAATATATCGAGGCTCAAACGCCATCCCGTTCGGGTGATGTGGAAGTCAGAAGAGAAGGGTTCAAACTCAGGTGTCGTCCTCGTCTCTTGACCATGGTTCAAAATTACGAGGTCCGTCGCCAAAAGTCCTCGAGTAGCTGAACAGTGCGACGTTAATATTCACTCACTCATCGCCCCTCCTCTTCGCAATAACAAAGTATTTAATGTAATAATAATATAATTTGCTGCTATATAAAGTTACAATTCGATCTTATGTATAAACAGTACAAATTATCAAGATAGGTATTAAATTTTGTATAGGTTACTTTTAAGAAATAGATTTTATAAGTGTTGCCTTTTCTTTCTAATTTTTAAATTGGAACAGATTGCTTAATAATTTTTAATTAAAAAAATTACATATTTATTTTCTTAAGCATCCATCTCTAAAATCTCTTCCTACATTTCAAACATAAAACCTCTGTGAAAACGTATTTTCTGTCGTGGTTGCTTAAAAGGTAAAATATAGATCTTAGCTAAATATATATAGAAAAAAAAACTTAGAGTATCTATATATGTAATACTAAATCTTTCTTTGAAAGACAAGCCCGTGAGAGTCACTAGTAATTATTAAATCTGTTCTTAATTTAGTAGTGATGAATTGATTAACAAATACATTGTGCAGCACCAGTAGCGAACACAGGAATTTTTCAAGGGGGGGTCCGGGGTTGAAAGTTGATCATTTTTGTATCAGGCTCCTTTTGATTTTGTCGATTTTCGGGAACAAAACACAGTAAAAACTAATTATTGAATAAATAATTAGCATTAATTAATAAAATTAATCATTAATATCAAATATTTAATTAAATTTTTCGTACTATGTACTTAGAATTATAATCAATCGGGAAAAAAATCGAAGGCTTTTGGGGGGTCCGGACCCCCAGAACCCTCTCCTTGTGTGCGCCACTGTGCAGTACTGATGCATTTTAATAATATATCAATGTAAATGTGTATTTTAATTTTTTGTTATGTCAGAATGTATATATACTTTTATTTTCTTTCAGTAAATTAATAGTTTTTTTAAATAATCTTTTATTTTCGACCTTCGATATGCTCGTGCCCCCCACGTAAGGGTACCACGCCCCACAAATCGAGAATCGCTGGTTTGGGCACGTCTGTGTATTGAAATTATTATGTTACTATACAATAAATGAACTCTGTATTTAATGTCCGATTCCTTTTGTCCAATGCCGGGTGGGCAAAAAATCCGTATAAACTTTTAAAAGTTTATAAAACCCGGAAAATTAAACAAAATAAGAAAACGGTTTGCAGGTTTTACGGGATTTTTTTTTAAGGTAAGTGAGTGAGTGAATGAGATTTTATGGCGCAAGAGCCAAATCTGGCTATACTGCGCCTAACATTTGTGAAAATCTGTGATCTAGACGAGAAAAGAAAGAAGGGATAAATTGAATGACAAGAAGGAGGGTCGAAAATAGAGAAGGATCACTAGGGTACTCCAGCTTCGTGAGACCCGTGTTTACCAAAGGTAGTAAACCCCTTGGAAAAAGGAAAAGATCACTAGGGTACCTCGGGATTGTGACACCCGTACTCAGCTAAAGAAGGTGAGCCCCTGGGGTGTTTTTAAGGTAAGAAAAAAAACCTGCCGACAGATGGTGCTGGTACAAACGACTGAATTGGGAATATGCAAATGAGACACAGGTGATTACAAATACTGATGCCTTGATTCAGATCTAATTCTCCGTTGCATGCCAACTAAGTGAGCAAGGATGCTCATTGAGAAAGACAAAACTTTGTTGGTGAAGCTGTTTTTCATGAACAAGGAATCAGCTACTGTTGCACTGTGCAAATTTCGACTTCAGAAAAATGTGAAGACTGGAAAAGGGCTTTCAACAGAGGCACGCTTCATAAAGCTTGTTCAGCGATTCGAGGAAACCGGATCGCTCGAGGATCGTGTAAGATCCGTACGACTAAGAATCATTAGCAAACGTTGCAAGTTTACATGGCCTCCTCAGTCTCCAGATCTGACTCAAGTAGACTTTTGTCTGTGGGGATATTAAAATTTCCGGGTGTATTAATCCCGTTCATCGAATCTGTCGGAATTGAAAGATGCGATCCTCCAAGAGCTGTCATGTATACAGGTGGACATTCTGCACTCTGCCGTTGCTGGATTTATGACACGCTTGGAATGTGTCATCCCTCGTAGTGGTGGATATGTGGAACACGTGCTATTGTAATAAATGATTTGGTAACGTTATTTCAGTTATTTTCGAGTATTTTCTTTATTATGTACAAAACGCCTCCTATCGGTATTTTTTTAAATTATTCCTTTTTCTTAGCTTAAAAAAATCTCACGACTTATCGATGCTAAACCTACTAACCGTTTTTTATTTTGTTTAACTTTCAGGGCTTTATAAATTTTAAAATTTTTTACGGACTTTGTGCTCTACCGGTATATATATAAATAACAAAAGGGGAATCAAACGAGTTAACAACTTTTTCTATTGCTGGAAATTTTGTTGCATTTAACTATTCAGTTCAATAAGTGTAAAATTTTATAAAATTTTACAATAAAACTATATTTTTATGAATTAGTGTTCTTTTTCAACTGAAATTACCATTTCCGCAGATAAATTTTAAGAGATTAATGCAATGTCTTTACCACAGATTCACTCCAAACAAGATAGTAATCCTAGCGGTATAATCATTTTGATGCTTCCTTAACCACACCTTATATAGATAGTACATGGTTGTGTGTTCCAATTTATAAAAGTACTAACCACAGTCGACAGGGAGCTTCCCATAAGCTTTCTTCCCTTTGTAAATGATCTTTTGCAGTCGTCTGGTCGCCACAAAGAACAAGAAAAACTTTCGCAAGTTGGCTGTTTTTTCCATCCGAAGAACACGAGTAACATTGATTTATAGTTCCCGGTGGCTGACATCATTTGTATCGTCTCCATAGGCTTGACATGTTTCATCATTGACTTTAATTCTTCTGTATGATAATAACTTTTCATAATGTTTAAGACCGTCAGCATATAGGTACACAATGAATACATGCATTGTTATAGTAAATGAGGTTTGGGCATGAATTTTTCCAATTCATTGCAAGAAAAGAATTTTAAGTCAATTCCTTCTTTGGGGTCAACAAATAAAAATTTTATTTTAGTTACCGTAAAATCCGGCGTATAACGCGCACCTATACTTTCCAGCTGAATTTTTTAATTTTTAGGTATTTTCGCCGTATAACACGCACCCCCTTCTTAACGAAGAAATCTGAAATATTAGTATACATTGCTCTTATGTTTCGAAGTCATTTATTCGAGGTATTATCCCAGACTTTTGAAAAAATAGTATATATATATACTTCTAGAACTACAACTCTTTAAGTTCATAACGCAAGTCGTTTCTTTAAAACAAACGGTATTTCGATACACATAGAAGTAAATTTTTGTTTATGCCTTTTTCTTTTGTTATTTGTAAAGCTATCGTTTTTATACCCGGCGTATAACGCGCACCTTTAAATTTCTATCTTATTTTTTGTATTCAAAGAGCGCTTTATACGCCGGATTTTACGGTACTTTTTATTGAATAGTTACAATTAATATAAATATGTATATACATATGATATAATCACAATATTAAGTGGCAAAATAGAAAGCGATTTTTCATTCCATATATAGGGCTGGGCTATTATTTTTATTTGTTACTATTTATTCATTTATAAGTCACATTCTCAGAAATTAGTCCATCCCAGGAAGGATTCAAACATACGACCTTTGGATTAGAAGTCCAACGCGCTATCCATTGCGCTACAGGGACACAACGAGCGGTTTTACTTTTTATATATCCTTTTGGACTATTGTATTAGTTTATTATTGTTTATTCATTAATTAAATTTAATTAATAGACTAATATTTGAAAAATCGCTATTAACGTCTAGTGTCATTCAATACAAGTTTTAAAGGATGCATTTGAACGAATAAAAAATATTTTATTAACGATTAAAAATTTGAGCAAGATATATATATTATTCTAAATAGAGAGTAAGGATTAAAATTCCTTAGAATAATAATAATTTACTACTATAAATTTATCATATTTCCTAGTTATAGTTACCTCCATATTTTAAAATATTAGATAAAATTACTTATTATTATTTAATTCATATAATTCATTCTAGTGTCACTAAAGTTATTATAGTTTGTAAACTCTCTTTTTAATTTTTATTTCTATTTTTTTCATACTTTTGTTGTGCTACAATTCAGCCATTCTCATGCCTTGAATTTGCATTTGGGTCCAGAATCTGGCAATAACTTATTTATTGTACTCAGATTTAGCGTGGGCTCTGCATTCTTGAGTGCAATTTTTAGGTAAGTTACCTTTATATTGTAATGGATTTAGACATTCTATCCATTATTTTCAATAGGTTTTTGCTCAGTAATATTAACATAAAGGGGGAAGGTTGGCTGACCACAAAACATGTTCAGCCCCACTTTTATATAAATTATTTTACATATAAGCTGTACTAAGTCAGCAATGTTTATAATACTGCAGCATCCATTTTTTAAAGTTTAATTTCTCATATGTCCGTCTTACATTCTCAATATTTTTTGGTTTTAATTGATAAATGTTCCTCTCTCACATTTGTAGATAATTCATACTATATGCATATAAATATATACAAGGAGAGTGTGAAATAATAGTAGGAATTGAATGAAAAGAAGTAGAAATAGTCAATTTTTTTTACAAAAGACAAATAATTTTATCATTTTTTTTTTAATTTGTGAAATGGATTTTTAAAATTATGGATGTAAGATATCATTTGTAGAACAGATTAAATGGGCTCAATTCATGATGGTCACATGATAGAGACAAACACGTGTTCTCCATTGAATTCAAAACAGACATCATACAATTGTACTTGTTGTTTTATTTGTAAATCTTGGGTAAAATTTCAAATTTTTTTAATTTAAAGATGTTCAGATGTTATTAAAAATGAAATTCTTCAAAAGATTTTAAAATTTAAAAAGTATCTTATTTTTTATACATGTACTTTGAAATAAAATGCATTTTGTCAACCTATGTGCATTATTGTTGCAGACAAATTTGTATTTTTTAAGAGAAAGTTTCTGAAAAGATCAAAAGTTGGCAATAACGAAGCGCATGAACTGATCAGCTGGCATTCATTGTGCGGCTATTACGTCACAAGAGATTTTGAACTGATTGGCTAAAAACACGTGGCCATTGTTATCATTAAACTATGACATCACATGAAATGAGCCTTTTTGGCAGATTCTATTATAATACCTTACGTTTGGGTCTTATTATCACCAACTTTGCTATTCACTTTTATTTATCGCCAACTTGGCGATTCCGCCAACTTAGCAAATTATTGCCATTATGTTGGATATAAATAGAACACAAACAAGTAATATAAAAAAAACTTTTAAGTCAATTCCTACTTAGATCAACAAAGAAAAATTTTATATTTTAGCTAATTTTTATTAAATACTTACAATTAATATAAATATGTATATACATATGACAGAATCACAACATTAAGTGGTGATTGATTTTTATTAATTATCATTAAAGTAACGTATTGTTATCCAAAACAATCGTTCAAATAAAATTTCAGTTCAACTGAATGCTTTAAAACGTGAGAAAAAAATCTTTTAAAGTTTTTTCACAAGTCGCCAAAAGGGTCACTAAGTCACCAAAAAATATGCCAACGTGGCTGAATTTGTAATTCTTTGAATAATTAGTTTAATCAATTAATTTTTATTAATTACCTTATTGTCACCCAAAATTATCATGTATATAAAATTTCAGATCAATTGAGCGATTTAAAATGTATGCTTTAACGATTGAAAATTCCACCAAAAAAGATGAATAAATAACTATAGAGAGAGTGCGAACTAATAGTAGGAATTGAAGAAAAAAAAAGCTGTTGGGCTTAATCTGGCACTATTTTTTTCTCCACCAAAAAAAAAATGTTTTCTAAACTAGGATTTTACGTAATTAATTCCAATCGTTTAACAGGTCTTATTTTATTTTGATCCCTATTATTTTTAAAAGGTAACGGACATTGTACTTTTCTGCAACAAAAGTATCCACATTTTTTTAAATAATGAATGAGCAATGGTAATATTTCATATGCTTTTGAACTGATGTGCCGAAGAATTGTATTTTGGAAAAAGAATCTAGGAAAAAGGGAGTGGGGTCTATTTTTCGTAATCGGTTTGCATTTTTGAGTTTGGTAACCTTGAAAAAAAGTATTCTTGCTAAGCATAATAGCGAGAAATAGTTAACTTTCAATTTTTGTTTCACACAACAATACATTATTTAACATTACATTATTAAAACAAAATTTGGAGTTGAATTTACGTTGCATTTATAGAAAATTTTAAAAATGACGAGGACGCTTGAGACTATTTTTTTTTAGCAAAAGTAATATAATAAATAGTAAAAGAATTTTGTTTTGAGAACCCCTTATAATTTTTCAGCGCAACATAATATAATTTACAAATACCCCTCTGAGGAGTTATACGGTGAAATACGTTTAACGCGAAACGCTTAAGATGAAATATCGGTTAACACGAAATAATACAACGGTTCCTACACAAACTATGTATTTTCATGTATATTTTTCTCTAAACAAGAAACTGAAATCGCTTAACAGGAAGATTTTTCCCTTCTCGGAATGAACAAAATGCGGAAAACACCGGCCTAAGTTTGAAAAAATTTCTGCATTTTTGGACTGACCAACGTATCATCGGTGGAATTCGTTGCAGTAGATGACTATAATGTTTGTACACCCCAAATTATGCCAGACAAAGATATTTTGGAGTTTGTTCAAAGCTTAAAAAATATCTTTGATGCAGATTTTGACGATGAAAATGAAATGAATAATGCAACCCTTACTCCCGCGTCATCTGAAATGAGAAACATCAAGAAAAGTATGTGCAGTTATTTGAACGCACGTTCCACTGATGAAATGATTAACCAAATAGACAACATCGAAGAATTTTTTAACAACTTAATGCTAAAAAAAGACAATACAAAGAAAAATATCAAATTATTTTTCCAACATCACGCGAAAACGATCGTTTTGGCATGCTCGATAAAGAACTGGCGCTCGGAGCGGTAAGTGCCCGGTTCGAATTTTCCTACAAACTCAATAAATGTTTTGTTTTTCAAAAAACGTGAAAAACTTGTGTTAAAGTTTTTTTAAGTTCTTGTGAATGTTTTTATTTCATTGATTTTTATTAAATACATGCATATATATCTATCTACGTAAATAAAATAAACTGTAAGAAACTTAATTTATTTTAGTATATGGTTTTCTTTCTGTAATATCCTTTAACACGAAAATATATTTCAGTCCCCTCGGTGTTGTATCAAGCGATTTTCACAGAACTTAAGGCGTATAAATAAAATTTATTACCTTATAGGGGGCATGTATATACTATCAACTGCAAACCAATGATTTAATTTATCATTTTCTGACTTTTGCTAAAATTAATAAGTTTATATTGCACACCAATTTTATTTAATTTTTATTCACATCCAATATATGTGTGCGTGCGTGCGTGCATGCGAGTGTGTGTATCAATTCAAAAATGCCTTATAGCTGATGAAATGAATAACTTTGTGAAGTAAGACTGGAATTGCAAAAGCTGAAAAACAAAAACGAATTTTTTTAAAGTAAAGTTTATCAATTGCGCATTAAATTTAAAACATTCGTGCGAAAGATAACAAAGTTTATTTCTCAATTCCCAGTAAATCAAAATTTCGTAAAAATGAGACGTGAGGAAATGAGAATCAATTAAATAAATCTTTAAAAATACAAAAACAGCTTTCCTTACGATGAATTAACCCATAATTTTCAAAACTTGAGATTACATTAAGTCCAGCCATTCTTGAATTAACTACAAAATTTCTCCGAAGCTGGTTGTGAAATAAATAACTCTTTTTGTTTAAATCAACTGTTTCATACAAGTTCCCGGCTTGTAAAACCACATATTGGGACAAACTTTAAGGGGGGGGAGAGACATCACAAGGATTCAGATTTGCAGAGCAACCCATGTTCGGAAACGTCTTCGTTCGGTGCCAGGGGGCGTTGTTCACAAGAGCTTTGGAGGAAACAAACCTGCATTACCACAGTTATTTCAGCAGTCATCGCGACCCAGATGAATAGGGAACAGTTTTACGAACAACTAGCTGGCAGATATACACCGGATTTACCGATTAATGTTGATGCTGTTACTAATGCCACCTGTCTGACGATGTTAGTTCGAGACCCACGAAATTCATCGTGGCAAAGAGCTAAATGTACGCCTGTCGTTATCCGTAGCTTTGAGCCCCATTCAGGTGACAGTACGTTTTGGCATCAGAACCACCTTAATTTTGAGAAAGAACACCCTAAGGGTGGTTAGAGGTCTCCCACCTCTCCTCCCCTTCCACCTACTTCACTAGAGGACTTGCGGCTCGAAGGCTATCTAGAGAAACCCCATGCCGCAAAGGCACTTTCTATTTACAAACATCCATGCCTTCCCGGCATTCGAATCCAGACCCTACGGCACATGAGTCATCGTTACTAAACACTATACCGGGTGGAACTTTTTGATTAAGTTAATTTGATTTTTTGGTGAAAACAAGGGAATTTGGAATTGATACGCATCACCTCTTCATTGATTTTAAAACCACTCTGATAGCATCAACAGAAAGGCTCTTATTGCAACCATGAAAGAGTTTAAAATCCCTGATAAGTTATTAAGGCTCATGTGCCTGACATTAAGCGAAACAAAGATCACGGT